GCTGGTGGCCACAGACACAGGCAGTGAGAAAAATGAAAAGTGAAGGAAAAGCTCAGCAAACAAGCCCTGCAGGTCAGTGTTCTGACCCCGACCACTTTGGCTTGATGGGCTCTCAGCAAAGATAACAAGAGGGAGTCCAGGTTGTGCAGAGGAACAGGAAGTCCTCTTTGCCAAGTAATGGGCTGTGTGATGACTGCTGCTGCCTCGCCGGCTGCACCTCTCTGACACGCTCTTAAAATGGCTGCAGAGCAGGGAGTTGTTAGGGAAGCGGAGTCAAAAAAACAAGCATGAGGAGAAAACACAGCGGCTTTCCATGCTGCTGTACTTTCTAAGCAGCAGTGCTTGTATCCTCATCACGTTTAAGAAAGCTGTGTTGGAATTCTTGCTTCTGACACATGAAGCCAAATATTTTCAAGGCAGTGAGTCATTGACTGTTTGGAGTTTTTTCCTGCCTTCTCCAGGGCACCTCATCTTATTGGCTGAGGGCAGGGGCGCAGCTCTTATTGCAAAGACAGAGGATTATTGTTGTTTTCCCACATAATTAATTAGGAGAGAATCATCCTCTTCCTTTGGGAACAGCCAGCATGCATCAACTCCTTTATCTTTGCCCTGAGGAACAGATTAATAGGTATTAGAGATACAGACTGGAAAATGCCTTGTCTTGCAGTGTCAGGCTCTCTCCCTATCCCCTTCCCTCTCTATTCATTTCAACAACACAAAATCATATGCCCTTCTGTCGCCTGTGTTCATCGTACATTTCAGATTTAATATTTCCCAGGTACGGCTTTAAATAGATCTGTAACAGGTCCTTGGCTTGACAGTTTCACCTGACAGTTAATTACACCCGTTTATTACAGCGAAGCTTGTAACTGCATTAGTGACAGCTTTAATTAGTGAGAGAAAACAATGTGTGCCCTGCCTCCTGATTACATCCATTGTTAATGCGCACTGTGGCTGACACCTGCAGCCCTTTCTCCGAGATTTAGAGTAGAGGGCTCTGCCATCACAGTGCACATGGCTGAAGCAAGGCCTGTTGCTAAGCGATGGGAGAATAAGACATGCCAGGATTACAAACGGCTTTGCTTTTATTGAAGCATGTGCTATCCATGAGGGGTTTTTTTTTTCTCTGAGATTAATATGATGTTGAGTGACCTTGTTTCATCCCTGCTCTTCTAATCAAACATAAACCTGAAAGTGTTGCCATGGAAACCCAGTGTAGACTAAACACAGACTACATTTACCTTTTTTTAAAACTCTGTCCTCTTGAGATTTTTCCAACATTCACATCTCGGATTTTATTGAGCTGCAGACAAATGATGAACGACATGACAGCTCCATAAAAGTGAAGCCAAAAGAGTGTTGATCAACCCCTGGTGGCCAGCTGCAGTGTCGGTCAAAGTGTCAAAGTACAGGTCATATGCATTTTTCTCAAAGTCGGTGTCTGTTACAGGGTAAGGTGATTCTTTACACACTAATGTAGGTCTAAGGGTTGTGGTAATTTTGGTTTTAATTATTTAATGCTATAAAAACAGGATGAAATATTATGATTGACAGCTGAGGCTGACTCACGATTGTTCGAGCACATGTTTTAGAGGAACCTTGCTGCTGCACCGACTCTGGCTCCAAATGTGCAAGATGGCTGAATTTATATTTATATTTTTTGGCTGTTTTTCTGGATAATGGGAGGAAGTGGAGACACTTTATGTTAATGACTACATGGCGAACATATTAGAACATTTAAATGCTAAAGACAAATATATCTAAGGAGTCGGCACAGATATATTGGAAATTAGACTTGATGGTGACTCCAAATGAATGACTACTGTATGTGTAAATAAGCCAATGTTTGCTGTCCAGTTTGCTGTATTAACTTAAAATGTGATAATTTGTCTGTCTTCACAACATCAACTGCCCCAAAGTGGCCAAAAACTATGTTCAGGTTGAAAATAAAAGCTAATCAGGCAAAAATAAACCTTTGTAATGTGCCATGCTAGGGACCCAGCTGCAGATCTAATGTGCACCCCCAGCATGTGGAGTGCAGTTGCAGCCAACTGTGTGTGTTGTGCAAACCAGGTGCCAGGTGGAGCACAGAGAGAACCTGCTGTATGTAAACATCACTTACATTAGTGCGATCAGGCTTCAGATAACACAAAGAGCTGACTGATAATCCTCACTGAGGTCAGAGTGTGTTGTAACCCCAAACATTATCACTGGTGAAAAATGATCGGGTCATCTGAGGAGAAGAAATGACATCCTGGCTTCTAAAGTGCTGCTTACACGAGCTTTACTCACTGTTTTAATTGACAGATTTCCATTTTCTGTCACATTTTACCCATTAATTGTTTAGTTTATGGTAAAATAAAACAAACTCAATCACTGGTGTTTGCCTGTCGGTTTGTGTATTCATGGAGAGTCATAGATCGAAATGCGGTTCTGTTGTAGAAACTCCGTCTGAGCAGGTGCACAGAGAAACGCAAGAGAAGGAAAGGCCACTTCACATTCACCACACAGACAAAACAGTCAAGGAAAGGCCGCAGGCAGTTGCCAGGCAACACTATCCCTATCACAGCAGGAAGCAGAGTCGAGCAGCACATTAATCACTTTCAGTTCCATCTCGCAAGAGTCAACGTGCTACAATGCTGCAGTCGGACAGAGGTTTCACACTATGCTCAGTCACATGGCTCATACCTGGTTTTTCTGGCGTTTTATTCGAGGCTTAGCGAGACACAAACATCTGCAGGTTGACATTTATGAAAATTGATATCATATTTGTCCATTTATGTCCCATTTTTCTGTGTCACCTCAAGTCATGCATTCTTGTGAGGAGGTTTAAAGAATGAGCCCTATATGCTTTTTAGGTTTTACATGTTTTATCTTGTGCTCAAAGAACCATATTTGCTGCTGAATAGCATCACTGTTCTGTTTCAAATCTGTTTTTTCACCATCGAAAGCATGAGGTAACACCAGCTCCTACAGAGTTTCTGCAGGTTTATACTCTGCTGTGCTTGTCATGCTCAATGACTCCTAATGGGTGGGATCCAAGTGACATTTAAAGTGCAGTAAGTCACCAAAGGTTATAATTTTCCCATGGGGTTGCCATGGATAACATTGCTCATGGTCAAACAAGTTTAAATTTGGGAAACGAGGAGCAAAAAGATAGAGATTCAATTCAAAATAACCCAAATTTCAAGGTCCTACTAATATCAAAAATAATTCCATTCACAGGATGCCACAAAGCTGATCACATTATCCTGATATGTCTCATCTAATCTAATTTATCAAAAGATAACTGCTTCCATTCTTACATCATGTCATAATGAGGTCATTAAAATGCTCCATGTCAGGTCCCTTGTTGCTATAATCTTCATTTATTAAATGGTGACACCCTGAGTAGGAGGCTGCATTGGTATAGCATCTTATTGGCAATGCAAAGGCTCTCACAGCTTTACCAGAGCTGCAGCAGATCTGTGAATTGAGGAAAACTTGAAAAAAAATGTAAAAAGCAGCACGTGGGTGGATTCACTTGAGTAAAAAAAAAATGACAAGGTTTTCCCCGCTTGCTTGTCTTCACTCACAAAGAGGCGGAATCAAATTCTGCCCAGTGAGCAGGAACGACGAGCTATGGGAGGGAATCACCGTTGGCAGCCAGCAGCCTATAGACCTGGAGCACTAATCCACAAAGCCATGCATTCGTTACATTACACTGAAACCTGTAACTATTTTACCTAATACCATTTAAGAAATAATTTGTCTCTTCACTTTGTAAAGAATACATCATGACAGTGTGCTACAGAGATATAACTGAAACAATGAGGTATAAATTACATTTGTGAAGCAAAATGAAACCTTTTTATATTCCATATTTTTGTCTGAGTGACAAGGTCTAAATATACAGTAGAATGCCTCATATAAACTGTCAACTTAGCACATGTATTACTCACTTGTATCAACCAAAGATAGCCCAGTTTAATGAACAGGGAGCCCACGTGTAGGCTACGAAAATAAAGATATTGGCACTCGTTGGAACTCAGAGTTACTGATAACATATTCAGTCGTCCGTGGTAAGTGATGAGGAAATGTGTGACAGCTTTGTATGGCCACATTCAGCCGCATGACTTATTTAACCTGTCAAAGAGCATCCTGCCACCTGAGTGTTTCTCTCACCTCATCATGTCAGATGTGCACAGCATGCATTCATTAAAAGTATTTATATTTAGCCTGCACAGTAAAGTGGATGCTCTGGGAAAGGTTTGAAGTTCTGATATGATCAACGACTTGTATTTGTTTTTTTACTTCTTGGGAGCATGAATGTCCAAAACAAAACTCATATCAGTACAGCCAAGGGGGGGCACTGGCCCTATAGCAGAAATCTGATTGGCAACTGAAGTGCCTCTGTCCTGTCATTAGTATTTTTTTTATTATTATTAACTAGTCACTTATTAACATTACCAACAATAAATATGACAAGTTGTTAAGAATTGAAAATTTAATTGATAAAATAAAGCATGCATACATGTAAAAGACATGACAAAGATGTCAAAAGAGCTTTTGGTGATAAGGGCCGACTCCGTTGATGTGCTCTAAAAGAAAACTCTGAATCCTCTGGAGGTAATTATGCATTGTTGTGAACATGTCTGAGCAGAGAATCTCCTGCTACATGGTTAATGTGTGAAAGGCATCTTCTTGAGAAAGTCCAGAACAAATTCTGCAGACATCCTCTGGAGGTCATATCTTTAAATGGCTTTAGCAAATCAGGAATCGTGCACAGACGATGGAAAAATAATTAGCCGGTCTATGTAAATGTGGCCCCTGGCCCTTGATTTAGAAAACTACATCCGGCACTGCTTTAATCTGAACATGAGGATGTTGGATTGAATCAATCCCATGGTCCCTGTCACGATGATGTTGATGATGCAAAGCTACCATTTACTTTACCCTGCAGCCTCACAGATCAAGAGATACATCTTTTAAACGCTCTCTCCTGTGGTGCGTCTCCGCAGCGCATCTCTCGGTAAACAGCGCCTGTTGGAGATGAACGCACCACCTCTGCCGTAAAACACGTCGACCACCACACTGCAGCAGAGCACGGACACAGCATCAGGCCTGTGAGCAGCACACACAGTCAGCTGCTCATGCTCAGTGATCTCCATGGCTTCTGCTGCTGATGAGCCGGACCCGCTCCAAATGCGCCAAACGCAGTCTGTGAGAGACGGAGGTACCGTCTGCACACGGAGCAATACGATCCACTGAAATCAGAGAGAGCTGCTTCAGTTGTCAAAAGTACCTAGTGTCGTCTGCTCTTAGCTTAATCTTGTTTTTTTTCTTTTGCGTAATTTGGCTCAGGGCATTGGATGCTGCGTCCGCGTGGACCGGGATTATTTTGGTGAGGATCTCTCTCTCTCTCTCTCTCTCTCTCTCTGTAGCGCGCTCTCCTCCACCCTGCATCCAGACACGGACTGAGCTAGACGGGAACCATCTGTGTGCAGCGACACTGTAAACAGACGAGGAGCCGTTTTCATGAAAGACAACGTCTCTGCTGCTGCTGGCTGGAGGAAGGTAGGTGGCTCCCAGTCGGTTTCCGTCTCCATCCCTCCATCGGCTCACGTTTCCACGGTGTGCTCGTTTTGTTTTCTGCAGCAGAATGGTGCAATGCAACGTTTGCACAGCTCTGCCTTCCACAGATGGATGAGGATGTGGCAGAATAAGACATTTAATGTTTGCACGGTTTCATATTCGTTTGTTCCTCTCTGTGTCCTTGTGCACAACAGTAAGGTGTTTATGTGTCTTTGTCAGAAATAAACAGAGTAAGGGAGGGAGAGGAGAAAGAAGAGGAAGAAAACCAATGCGTGTTATCCAGGCGTGTGAATGCACATGGGTTAGCGTGAGTAGCGTTTGTGTGCGTGTTATTTGTTTTGTAGACTGGAGTTGTGCACAGCAGCAGAGGAAAGTTTGTGCAGTGTAGGCTACACAGTGTTGGCGTGAGGAAGCTGAGAGCAAGACAGAGGCCACTGTGCATGTCACACTGTGCACATGGCTGCAGAGGTGGCAAGTAACCAAGGACATTTGCTCAATTACTGTGAGATATATTTTCATATGGAGCATCATTCATATGTTATGTTATTTAATACTTAAATAACAACTGTTAGTGTGTTTATTTGTGGTATATTAATTTTTACTGATAAAAAGAGAGATAATAATAGAACACATCGATGCGTGTCATGGCGGTGAACAATCATTTAACGGCGTCCATTGATGCAAGAAGACGAACAAAGGGCTGGTCCATATACCTGGTCGAACCGGCCCGTTGGTCAAAGAGTTTTTATTTTCAGTTTGTGATGTCAGTTACTTTATAGATAAAAGGCTTCAACTCAAAGTCCTGGGCTAAATAAAAAGCCCCAGGAAACCCCCTGTTAGTCCCTGTGTTAAAAGACTTTTAGTTGTGGTGGTGGGGCAGCTCTTTTCTCCACATCTAGATCACAGGTTGAGTCTCTAAATTAATTTGTAAACGTTGTTTTTCCTAACATTAGGCAGTGACTCTGTTGCTGTTAGATACTCCCCCTGTATTTGCTCCGAAAGCCATAAGGAGTTAAAGGAGAAAGTGCTATAACACTATAAGAAAAGTCAAATCAATCAATAAAATATGAAGGATCTAATTAATAATTCAAATCGAGAGATGAGAGTAAATCAATCTTCCGGTCAATCTCAGTTTCAGGTTGTAATGTAATATCACTGTAACGCCTCTGTTTCTGCCTTTTTCCAGCCTTCAATCAGCAATGCCTGGGAACCCACCAGCTGCTCCTCCATGCTGTTTTCTGAGAATGGAATTGTAGTAGACCTCTCCAGGATTTAGATCAACTGCTAGCATGTTGCAGCCTTCCACCAGAGCAGGTGACAGCCTGTTGGAAACGTTACCTCACTGGAGTAAGCGATCGAAATGGGTCCCCTTTCTCACCCTCTGCGTGGCTCTTCTCTGGCCTCCGGGGGCAGAGGCATCAACCCTAAACTGCCATAACACGTGCATCTGCGCCTCGAACATAGTCAGCTGCTCCAAGATGAATCTGACCACTGTCCCCATTGGCATACCGCACTACACTGGAGTGCTGGATCTCAGCTACAATGAGATTGAACGGCTGCGATCCGAGTGGACCACAGTCAAGCTCACAAAGCTCCACAACCTCCTTCTCAGCCACAACGGCCTCCACTTCTTGTCCTCAGAGGCATTTGTGTATGTGAAGAACCTGCGCTACTTGGACCTGTCCTCCAACAACTTGCGGCAGCTGGATGAGTTCATCTTTGAGCCCTTGGTCAACCTGGAGGTCCTCCTGCTGTACCATAACCAAATTTCCCAGATTGACCGTGCAGCCTTTGCTGGCATGATCAACCTTCAGAAGCTCTACCTTAGCCAGAACCAAATCTCCCGATTCCCCTTGGAGCTGGTGAAGGAGAAGTCCCGTCTGGAGAAACTTAGCCTCCTGGACGTGTCCTCCAACAAGATCAAGATGTTGGCCATTGATGAGCTCCAGGTGCTGCCTGCTTGGATTAGAAATGGCCTCTACTTCCACAATAACCCTCTGCTCTGTCACTGTGATCTGTACACACTCCTAGCACATTGGTACCTTCGAAAACTCAACTCCGCTGTGGACTTCAAAGATGACTACACGTGTATTCTGCCTGGACTGCAAAAAACAAAAGTAGGTGTTTTTGACCTCAGCGGCGACAATATGAACTGCAGCACATTCAAGGAGGCAGATGAAGAGGCTTTCCTGGAGCAAACGCTCACCCTGGGCTGTGACACAAAACACAGAGACATGTTAAAGACCTGGACAATGCCCGGCAATGTGCCGATGTCACCTGGAAGCAACCTGACAGCCAAAGTCTTGCAGGATGGACGTCTGCAGATTAGTCCGGTAAGGTCTGAGGACGCTGGGACCTACACATGCTTTGCAACCAGCGAGGCCTTCAACGAGACGATCTATGTGGTGCTAAAGGTTCACAACTTCACCATGCATGGGGGCGGTGAGACCCTGAACACAGCATATACCACCTTGGTGGGCTGCCTGGCAAGTGTAGTGCTGGTGCTCATGTACCTTTACCTGACGCCTTGTCGCTGCTTCTGCTGCCCCAACAAGGGTAAGACTCGGGGTGAGGACAGCATCCACTCCTCCATGCTCAGTGTGACACCGACCCATGAGGACCCAGAACTCAAAGCTGAGCTGAACAGGCACGTGGCATTCATAGACTCAAAGGACTTGCAGGGCCAGAACGGAAAGCTGAACCCCAACGGGAATGACGACGGCGATGATCTGGATGCAGAGGCTGGTTCTCTAATGAAGGGGAAGAGGAAGAAGTCGGTAGCAGAGTCTATTAGCTCCGTCTTTTCAGACACTCCCATGGTGGTCTGAGACGAAGAGGCGGATTCCACTTGACTGGATGTATATGGTACAACATGAGCCATGTTTTAGTTATTGTAAACTGTGACTAACCTTGTGGAAGAAAACAGACCATGGGTGTTAATCTGTAGTTGCTGACAAGTGGAAATGAGGATCTCAAAGGGAGTAAAAAACAAACTGTCCTGTGGTTGACAGTGAGGACAATAAGCAGGACTTTTCCAGCATTTCAATCTGTAGCACTTAATATTCATACTGTGAAGGAACGGCAGTGTGCACGGTCACGTCAACTACTGAAGTCTTATGAGAATAAAAGGTAGATATGTGGTTTATGAGCACTCAGGAAGTGATACATTCAATTCAAGTGAGGGAAATGCGTCCGATACATGCACAGATTGAAATGAGCTCACATATCGTATATATATATTGAAACCATGGCTGGCTCATAATCTTATTTATTACTAGAATAGAGAATCTTACCTAAACAGTAGGACATAGGCACATTTACCCCTTCTCGACAGACGCAGAGACACAGACTTAGATAGAGGGCTGCCACTAGGCTACAAAAATTTGTGTAATTAACCTTGAGACACCTATAGAAAAACAGCATGCCATAAACCCACATTATATTTATTTTTACTAAGGAGGCAGTGGCACAAACATATTATCAGGCCAGCCTAGGTCATTGTCATCTTAGTTGTATAATTCCTCAGACTGATCTGTACTCATAGTCATATAGTGTTAGAGGAGAGAGCTCTTTTTTCCTTTGCTATATTAAAAGAGATCAGTTAATAAATACGGTATGCCATTCAATTATTAAATGAATAGTGTATCAAAATAAAAGCCTCTTAGCTACCTGCATATCCACAGTATAAACCCAAATATACTACTGAAGCCTTACACAGTTAAAATAGATGGAGCACCTCCAGCAGATACACGTTGGGTGCAGGGACGTAGTTAATCGTGACTGATTATCAACATATTGTCTCAATTTTGTACACAGACATGCACCATAGTCCCTACAAGGACAGATAGACGTTTTGTTTGTTGTGCACTGAGGTGCCCCCGACTCTACTGCAGAGTTTAACACCTCCTCTCGGCCAAGTTGCAGCATTTGTCTCTCTCCGTCACACTCGCAGGAAGTTACGCTCGTGCTAACAGCTAGCAGCTCATTTCATTCTTTCTGGTATGTGCACCTTACACAAGACAGGGATATATTTTAATGTACATTCTTCAAAAACAAAACACAAACATTGGTGAACTCATTCATTACGTCATGAAGTATGCCGGAGGTTTGAGTGTTTGTTCTTGCTGAGATGGGACATTCACACTGATTTGAAATGTAGCTGCTTCGCTCTGTGGTTGGTAGAAAACGATGTGCGTAGTATTAGCAGGTAAACATTAGAGACACATTGTACAACCAACAGGTTTCTTTCGACAAGGGAACAAAGATTAAACAGTTTGCTGACAGGAAACGTTATAACACAAGGGACTCTGCGGTTTTATCCTTCGAAGGAGTCCCCTCATCTCAACAGTTATTGAATCTACGGTGAATTTAATTTAGCAGACACATTGTATGCTATGCATACTTGATTAAAATACAGGAAGACTGTGTCTTGGCATAAACAAGCAAAGAGTGATTTCATGAGTGTTTGGCATTTGTGTCAGGGTAGAACAAGGCGAGCCCCCTGTAGATGCTAATTGCATCTTTTGATGGGATGCAGCTTCCCTCTGCTTTCCACGTCTTTGTCTCTCCGAGCATGAGAAGAAAAGGTGTGTTATCATGAGTCACAGCAGCACAAAGCCATTCTCTGTTGCTCCCTGTGTGCTGACGGCCTCCATTCAGAACAGATAGGTTTTCTCTTTTGTTTGTGCACCTCTCTCATTATGAGGCTGCCCTTGCACAAGTTCAAAAGCAATCATTCAGCCGGGCCATGAACGTGATGCCTTTGAAGTAGTTTGTAGTTTGTTGATGATTGAAACGCCTGCAGCAGTCGCTCTCTCATTCAATCATACAATTGGAAGGTACAGTTATATACTGAGTTTTCCACTTTATACTGTATATGAACGGATAATAAAATAAATGACATACATCTTTTAAATAGGAATGTCAATTTAGCTCTCCTAATGTTGGGATGCACACAGTTATTGGTGGAATATTTACAGTTGCCGTGTTCACCGCAGCATCTCCTGTGTGGGTGAGAAAAGGAAGTCACACTCCGAGTGGTGTGTGAATCATTCCACACTCTCACACATGAGAATACCAGGTGGAGATTTATAAAGCAGCAAACATACCACAAGATACACTTTTAAAACACGCATACACATGCAGACTGGCTGCATTTGCGGAACAATCTGCCCAATTTTAAGGGATCCAGGCTCTGTATGTTTTGCCCTCTGAATTTTAAAAGGTGTGCCATCCCCTGCTCATCCATAGAGCGATCAAACTAAAACCTGAGAACTCAGTGAGAGAATCTGAAATTGCTAAAAAAAAAACTGAACTTACACTCAGACATTTTGGCTGTTGAATAGCAAACATCAGAGTGCCAGACCATGAAGGCATGTCATGTGTTCGCCCTGCAGCAACGCAGCCAGTCCAGTCAAATCTGCCGTGGCTAATGGGTGTTCTGTGGGTTGTCAGTAAAATTACAAGTTGCGGTTATGTACGGAGAAAAACAAAGTGCTGCTGCTCATGAGGATCCTAATGTTGTTCCCTCCAAAGCAAATCTGCCTTCCTATATATATCTATATATACAGTATATATACATGTATTAAGACTCACTTCTCTGTGCTCAGTATTGATTAGCTGTGTACTGTTATGTTCTACCAGTGTACTGACTGTATTCTTGTGTAATCCAATGTATCATTTTGCATTTTGTCTGCCACAGTGCTACTGTTAGTTGTTTCGGATTTCATGTCTTGACATACATGTTTATTTTCTAAGCAGGGGTGGGGGGTTAGTTTTTTATTGAAAGATAATTATTTTACACTGGACTCTGCTGAAGACTGTGGTTAAACTGAAACAAAAAATTGCTATGGAAGGAAGCCGGCTGTGAAATCACGATCTAAAGCCAGGAGGGGTTTGCGGGGAAAGCATGGGGCTTTATAGAAAGGTGATGTAGGGAGTTATAGGGGGAGAAGTGAGTTCTCCATCAGACACTTCATGACGATTATAGCAACAACTTTGTATCTATGAGAAAAGTCAAAGAATTGAAAATTAAGTAAAAAGTCAGGGATTTAATTCATATTTAAAATGACAGATCAGAGGGTAAATAAATCTCAGGAATATCCCAGTTTAAAGTTCTAATGTAAATGATGATCATTTTAAAAGGTTTCACATTTGCAGCAACACGGAGACAAAATGTTTGATTTTTAGAGCAGATCATAAGCCCTTTGCTATTTGTAGCAACGGCACTTAAACCGTTCCTTGAAATCACCAGTCCTGAAGAAGGGAGCGGCCTCTCCCTGCCCGACTCCCTTCTATCTCCATTCATCTCACTATTTAGTAGCAATTACTGTAACATCCTTGAGATGGTGGAACTAAAAGCTCTTTTCTTCTACAATGTGATACTTTGAGTGTCCGTGGGACAAGAATGGAGCTTTTAACAGCCTTATCAGCACTGAGTTTATTGACCACTGCTTCAAATACGATCCAGTTGGTCACTGCCATAAAATCTTGATAGGTCTTTGCAGCTAATGGAATGGCTTTGCATGGTAAGAGCGTCTCTGACTGAGGATAGGTGCAACCTAGTAGGAATTTAAGAATACTGATATATCATTTGACTCTAATAAAAGATCAAAATTGACATTTTGTGCTGCCTCTATTTTTTACTGCTGTCTCTTACTTTTACTGGAAATAATCATCTGCAGGGAAATTTTAGATAGTTCTAGATAAGAACCTTTATTAGTCCAACTATGGTGAAATGTGCTGTGTTACAGCAGCAAATGGAGATAATGAAATACCTACTTAGGAAAATTAATAAATAAGTAAAGACAATATAATACAAGAAAATATAAAACAAACAGAATACATAAACAGTATTGCACATATATGAAATTGAAATAGCACAAAAAGGAATACAATCATAATTTAATTTAAAGGTCCAGTGTGTAAGATTTAGGTGAAAGGGATCTATTGGCAGTAATTTAATGTAGAATAATCCTCATGATGTTTTCTGTAGTTTGTTTCATCTAAATTGTATGAATTGTAGTTTTCTTTACCCCAGAAAAGGCCCTTTATGTTTAAATACTTTATATTTACATCGAGGGGACCCTCTATACAGAGGCTGCCATGTTTTTTACATTAGTCGAGACTGGACAAACTAAACACCTTTTGAGTTTTTATGTCAACCGAAGCTACCACAGGTTCTCTTTCATATTTCGAAGGAGAGGGTGAGGTGAAGGGTGTTCAGCTGCAACATGCAATTTCAACACTAGATATCACTAAATTCTACACACTGTACCTTTAATTAAAAACCTGAGGGAGAAACTGTATATAAGGTGCATGTAGTTCATAGGTTCCTGAAGCTTTCTGCTTCTATAGTTTTTGTTATGGCTTCTATCTGAAGGTTCAATCCGTTGTTAGAATACCTGAAACAGAATACAGTTACTGAGGGGGTGTATTTTAGAAAAAGAGGCCTCACAGGACATCCTTCAACCAATAATTAGTTTCCTGCAACATATAACTTGATAGTTTTGATCAGATTTGATTTCCTGTCACATGAGCAGCAGAGAGCAGTATATGCAGAGTTATATACAATATGTGCTTATGTAACTCGATGGAAAAGGCCAAAGGTTTATGCTGCTCTTTCCAAGGCGAAACATTAATGACTTAACACCATCTAGTGCTAACATGGTGTAGTGCACTTGAATATGTAAACTGACAGTTAAACAGATATTACTTAGTCACATATTTAATATCAAAACCTTACTATAGTTATTTTTATTTTCAAATGAAATGGAAATCATGAGTAAATCATTTTCATAAAAATCTAACATTAAAAGCAGATCAAAACTAATTAATCAAAAGTATTCTGTGCATTCTGGGTAATTAATGTAATGAGTAAAGTGCACAACCAAAGCCTGTAAAATAACAGAAGAAAGGGCTACTAGAATTCAAGAATTGTTTATTTGTTCACTGTGAAGAAACTTTTCACTTTAGCAGCATAATGAGAATACTGAGGTATTTTTAACCAAAACAGTCAAGTAAAAAATTATTTTACAAAATAAACAAACAGTCATTTGCAGAAAAACACTCATTCCTGACATCTGTGCATAAAAATGTGACGACATAAATAGATGTGGACACACACACTCATGTGCGCACATCCAAGACAAATATAACACATACATGTCTTTTGAGGCTTACAGGGCTGGATTTGCATCATCATAAAAAACACTACTGGTTTACAGCCTATTGCATGAAGAGCAGGTGCGTGCACTCACTCTTCAGGAGTTGGAAGTTTTGTCCAGGCCCCAAGCAAGCACATCCCCAATATTCTCCCCCTTCCATGTAAGGAGGCTAGAGCGGGAGGGAGAGGACAAGCGCTTACATTTGGAGGTTTTGGATACTGAGGATGGCGGTGACTCATTGCTTCCTTTGCGCTTTTGGCCACGACCCTTGCGATCAAAACCCACCGCCTTCTGCTGAATTCCTGAGGCTCTCCCTCTGCTGCGGGGGGAGAGGTCGGTTTTTGCAGGTAAAGGGGAACGCTTCTCCAAACCTGACAAGTGTCTCTCTGAGGGCTGCAGTGGCAGAGGAGGACATGGCTTCTTTCCCTGTGAGAAGTTACCACTGGTTGGTCCTTTACAGGAAGGGGAGCGTGGCTGACCCTTCTCATGGAGAGGGGGATCCCTGACATATCTGGGGGATTTTTCCTTATTGCTCTGTGGCAGCCTGGTAGCTTTCTGTGCTGCGCTTGCATCTTGCATAAGCACCACCTCCTTCTGCTGAACCTTGCTTTGTTGTCCAACAGGGTTGCTCCATCGGCCAGGCCCGAGGCTCACGGAGGAGGTGGAAGAAGGCGGTTTGGTACTCTGAGAGTTGTGCTGAGTGGTTTTGTTTTCCAGTTGAATCGAGGTAGAGTCAAGGCTGAGGGAGCCAGGGGACTGGAAGGGTTTCCCTGTCACTCTATCAGCTGGTGGTGTGACATGACAAGACCTAAGACCTGATGATACTTGAGGCATTTTCCTGTAAGTTAAAGGAAGAGCATGAGGATGATTAGAGTCCTGTATTTCATGTAAATCAAGATATTTTGATTTTTCTTCACGTGGTCCGGGTGGTCGATCATCCAGTAGATTAAACTCCCAAAACTGCTTCAATTCAATGGAAGTTGGCAGCTACATAAGTTTTTCTCTAGACTACATGGTGTAGTGAAACCTGGTGACTTGGGCGATGCCATTAATCCTACAATCCTTTTTATGTTGTATTTCTATAAGGGTATCAGAATCATTCCTTCATCATATAATTAAAAAGTATGAAATCAATGAGAGGCCATGCAGATCAGTAAGTCTATCATCTCCATACGTGCAAAGATGGCACCTAGCAGAATAAAGATATTTATGCTGTAAAATAATTTACCACTGAGCAGGTTAGACCACAAATTGATGCATTTTCGAAATAATTACTAGTGTGTGACTCTGCATGAATCCATACGGGAACAACGCCCTGCAGTGGATTCAGTGTCTAGTTCAAAGACAGACACTGGCACACCCAGGACCATTAGCTGAATGTCTCCCAGCTCACCAAGCAGCTTTTTTCTTCACCTTGCTGAATACAAACAAGCACCTTATCCACTCTGAATGACGTGATGATACTCACTTCCACATGTGTGTGCTGACATGGTGCTCCAGCATGGTGTTGAGGGCAAACCGCAGGTGCTGCAAGCGGCGGTCAAAGGTGAAGATGCTGTGACCCAATGTACGGCATCCAAAAGTGCAAAGCTACAGAACAGAGAGAATTTATGAATACAGACACACTCCAGTGTTTGTTTTTACTCTTAAAAACGACAGAGTAAAAGATATTTCTGTATTGGGCTTATGACACTAATCCCAATCTAATGGCTGCTTCTCCACTCACTCCGAGAGGTTTGGGGTGACATGGTGAGGAAGGCAGCCCCGTGGCTTCCTCCCGCTCATCATCTTCACTTTCCTCACATGACAGCAGACTCTGGTGGAAGGGATAGGGACGCTGTACCTCCACTTCCACAGCACTGTCGCCTTCATCTTCTGGAAAGCTTTCTTCTGTATCCTTGGACCTGCACAAAATAAGAATAATGGAGAATTGATAATGATGAACATTCTCTCAAACAAAAGATTGTGATGCTTACTCAATAGGTATTTTAGAAAATAACATTGACTTTGTTAATATGAATGTATTTCATACCCGAGAATGTGGCAGTTGCTGCTGAGGTTGTGTCTGCTACCCTGAGTTAGTTTCTCTTCCGAATGTTGCTCTTTGTCTTTTAATTTGACAAGTAGCTGCTCCACATCTCGACCTGCAGAGGGGATTCTCTCTCTCTGCTCCACAGACAACTGATCAAACGTCTTAGTCCTTCCCTGAGCTTTCTGCTGCTGGTGCATGGAATCAGTCTGTGTGGAAAGAACAGCAACATCTCATTCTAAACGAATGATAAAATCGTGTTTCACTATCAGTGCTTGGGCCCTGATGTTGACATTTCTGTTGATAATAAACAACGATGAAGATAGTGGTAACAGCTTTTACATTGCATATAAGCTCCCGGCTGCTCAGCATCTTCCTCTCTAGTTCCAGAATCTTGCAGTGTTTGTTCAAGTCACGCTCTTTCTCTATAGGAAAAAAGAAAACACAGAAGTCAGTGAGTAACAGCAGGACACAGTCAGTCAATAGGATCCATGCTGGTGAAGAGATTACACACAAACATATGGTCATTTTTCTCCAACAAAATAACACACAATAATTCTGAATACAATATAATAACACATACTACTGTATATGTAACTATATGCCAGACTAATATGCAAACACTCTCTCTACACTCTTGAGCTGCTGCCTGCTGCACATCGCAGGCTTTTTAAATCTTTCCTGATATTAAAAAAGAGCAGTGTTTCAAGAGACTTGGGAACTCACAGACACTTGCGTGATCAAAACAGGACTTCAGAATAAAAACAAACACTGAGGCGGTTGGCAGGTGTCACCAGCAGGTTGTGCTTGCTTGTGCAATGTTTTGTTTGAACTAATATTGACAGTTAAGAGATGTGACCAAAAAGCAGCAGGGGACACAAGAACAGAAGTCGTGTTAGCAAAAAGACTTACTGTCTACGTTTTTATAAATCCGGCTGTAGGTTCTCGTTCCCCGCAGAGGAGTGTGAGACTCACTGGACTGTCCAGCTGTGGACTTCTGCTCAGAGGGTCTCTCTGAGTTAGGAGTGGAGGAGGAACAGAGGCCAGGGGGCAGGGGGCCCGAGTGACATGGAGGAACCCTGGAACGAGGCATGGGCAGGGAGTGTTGTGGGAGGGGAGGGTTCTCCCGAGATAACTTCACCACTGAAGGCAAACTGAAGAGGTGGACGGAGAGGTAAACTTCAGATTTGACTCATGAGATTCAGACTTGAAAATTAAAATAGTAGATGGAATAAAAGGAAACACAATTTCTTTTTTTATTGAATCAGAATCCTCAACACGAGTTCCTCCCAAATCTGCATTATTAACGATTCCTATGCTGTTATGATGAACGTGCACAATGTCAAACAGTACCTTGCTGCCTCTCTCTGGGCCTTACTAGGCCTGTGCTGGTGGACAGGTAATGCTGCTGAGGAGGGGGTGCCATCCTTCTGCCTTACTCTAGGGAGGGAAACATTTGAAGGAGGCTGGCCGGGAAGGGGTCGCTGCAGTGTAGCCAGAGTCGATGGCTGGCCACACATTTTTGTAAGCGGGCCATGGCGCCTCTCACAGTGCTTCTCGAACGCTCCAGGCTTCACCACCTGACCACAGTGACTGCACACCACCAAATAGAAATCATCATGTGCCGGACAGTGGCCATATATGTGCATGTCTGTAGAAGAAATAGAAAACGGAGTTAGTTCATGTTAAATTGATTTGAGGTGGTGCTGAATACTGTCAGTGTTACTGAGTCGTCACCTTCTTTCCTGAGGGTCATGGTCTCAGATGGGTTCCTCCCACAGCTGCTGTTGTCTTCAGCATTAGACCCGGCTGCAAGCGAGGCAAAAACAGACATTTGTGCCTCATGTTCACTGAGATACCTCGACAGCTTTGCTGTGTTAAACCTGTGTGTGTGTTTATTCAGTTAACAGAAAAAGATACATACTTTTACTTAAATAAATGAGATAAGATGAGATCAAATAATCCTTCATTAGTCCCACAACAGGGACATTTGCTCACAGTCAAAGAATAGATCAGTTATGAGCCGTTGAACAGAAGATTCTATCACCAGGGCCATAAAGTGAAGTGTGTGTACAAGATATGACTGTTTAATAAAACAACATCAACTGGGCGTTTTAGATTCAGGAGGCTGTGCAGTGACTTCTTGACACCGGAACACGTCTTTCATCAGTCCATGTTTCAGATTTGAATGTTGTGAATATTTGCCTTTTTTTTTTTTATTCTTCCACTTTAATAGAAATGCACTCCCTGATGTTTCCTGATGCTGCAGCAGGAGCTCGTGTGTGCTGCTCACTGTCTCTGCCCTCAGACTGAAATCCTTCCTAAGTTGTTGTTGTTGTGCGTGAGGCAGCGGCGGAGTGTGTGACACTGATGTGACCACACTTCACCATCATGTTTATCGCTCGATGTTTCACCGCGATGTCTCTGAAACAACAACTTAAGGAGTGTGTAGCTTTGGGAACCCTCCCTGCACTAGGACCCAGCAGGTCTTTTGTTTGGGTCGCGCTTCATGCCGCTCTCCGGGTTTAAAAGAGAAAATAAAACCGCCTCTCTGTGACTCTGTGGCCCGACGACACCTCACCGAGGCCCGGGAGCCCCACTCACCGTCCGGCGGGGAAACATCCACCATGTCCGCCCAGCGGCTCCAGTTTAATCCGACACAGTCGTCGAGGTTTGGATGTCGCCGACTCGAGGCGGCCATTGCTGCTCGTGCGCGGTCACGAGAATGAGATCGCCGGTTCACGCGCAGCGCACACCCGCGTCACCGGGAGCTCGCATCCGCGTTGAGGCGGCGAAGTGATGACAGTCACACTCAAGCTCCTGAAGCTCTTCCTAGTATTATATATCCTACATGTCCCTGCTGTTGGCTTGATGCATCATTGTGATCACTCAGTAACTGTTTGTAATACAGTTGAATTTGAAGTAGAATGTATGTCTGTGAAGATTCTCAGTCAGCGAGGGAACCAAAACCACAACAAGTATACACAGAACCGACAGGGAGGAAAAGAAGGATCATCATTGTGATCCCAATGGTGCCGGAGTCAAAACTCAGGAGGATTTTCAACAAACACCACATCCCAGTACATTTCAAGCCCACTAACACACTGAGACAGAAACTGGTCCTGAGACGAAACAGCCAGACATAAGCAAAGCAATGTGGAATACAGTTGAATGTAGTGAGGAAGGCACAGGCCTGTACAAACGCATGGCACAGGACAGCCAGCTCCCCAGGTCAGGATTCAGAAGTCGTCATACATCTAGAGGACAAAGGACATTCATTTGAAGAAGACAACGTCCACATTTTGGCTAGGGAAGACAGAAAGGAGTGAAGGAAGCCATCTACATCAAACTAGAGAAACCATCTCTGAACAGAGGAGGAGGTTTAAGACACTACCTATCAGCCACTTACAATACAGTCCTGACTCCCATCCCCTGGAAGTTTCACTGTGATTCACACCTTAGGACACATAACTCAGAGGGGGTAGGTGGGTCAACGACCCAACAAATTACATACCTGGTACTACTTGAAACGTCTTTAAGAAACTCAGTCAAACAAGTCAAGTCCAATTGACCTGTTTTTGGCACTTGGAAAAACAATATAGGTTCTAGCTCATTGGTTTGGTCTTGTTCCTACACTGTAGGTTTTGGTAAGAAATTTGTACATTTATTTTTCAAAAACATGTTTTGATGAATGTTGAATTTGTTAATAAAAAAAAGTAAAAAAAAAAAACAGCTTGTAACATCCTCCATCTCCCCATCCCTGGATGTTGCTCACTTCTATTATTTCCATAATAATCCTGGTCAAATGTATTTATTATCAATATACTTCATTTGACTGCACTAGTGAGGGTGTGTTGGCAGTTGATGCCTTGCTGAGGTAGAGAGTTTCTGTCACTCACTCTGCAAGATGGATGCCCAATCAGCACAAAATTCTACGACTCACACATCATCTTTTCAGTGTGAGAAATAGATAGCGTGGGGTGACTGATTACAGTCGAATCATGTGCTCAGTGTGTGTGTGTCAGGTCTGCCTCATCTGTCTGATTAAAACATTATGTACTATACGTGCGCTAAAAAAAAAATCAGACACATAACAAATTCAGATCTGAATTTTTAATGATACACTGCATTTAATGTCCACACTGTAGATTCATGGATTGTGATAAGAACTCCTATCTCTTCAATGTGACATTTTTATAAACACAGTGAAGGCGAACACTTGAACTGTTAAACAAACAAGGCTTTCTCAGAAATGGGAATAAGAAGAAAATAGCAATAACAGGGAAAACAGCTTGGCTTCCCTTATAACAATGTGGAGGTAGAAGCCAGGCTAAAGCAAGATAGAAAAAAGTATGCAGTTAGTTAGAAATCACTCAATTGTTAATAAACTCTGTAACCAGCTATGTAATGGTGTAGAACAGTTGTATTAAATTCTGTAAGACTTTCAGGAACCTCAGGGTTTGTTTTTTTCTTTCATTAAACATGAGCTGAACAAATAGAAAACATCCTGTCAGGAAAAAAAACATGACAAAGTCTACCTAGTAAGTGCAGTAACTTTAAATGCAAATAATTAAAGAGAGCCATCATGCTCTTAATGGATATATGCACCACAAACATGACATTCAGCTGTTCATCTAATTTCGCCATTTTAGCCTAATAGTAAAAAGACTAAGCCTGAACAATGCGTAGACCCATTATAAATAATCTCATAATGGCAACTGAATCATATAAAAAAACTCTATTGAACATTTTATCACTGCATACTCGCTTTTTGATGCAACAGAAACCGTGTCTCCAATTTTGTGTCAACAAAAAATGCACTGCAACTATTTTATATTAATTTGGCGTTTAGTAATTATGACACTCAAAAACCCTGAGTTTTTTGATGTTTGGAAACAAAAATATGAAACAGAAACACCTTTTAAAGTTAAGATGATGACAAAGTGATGCCGATTTTAGCCAACAATGCATCATTCAGTCCATATCTGCAGTATCATTGGAAATAAGGACCATTTGTTTGGGATATTTATATATATATATATATATATATATATATATATATATATATATATATATATATATATATATATATATATATATATATATATATATATATATATATATATATATAATCATCTTTGAGAACACATATTTTGAGTGCTACCACTCCCCATGTAGATTTCAGCCCAATAAGTAAAATTTTAGTACCCCTTGAAATTACATAACAGCGCCGCAAATATAATATTAATACCTCACAAAAAAAAAGAAGCGGTTGGTTTTAGAAATAAGTATCTTATGTTCTACAGTATAATTCTAACAATTAGAAACAAAATTCAATAAAACAACATGTTAGACACTTTTGAGAAGAGGACGCTGTGCAGTTACGTTGGCCTACCAGCCCCCTCCACATCTGCTGGCTGGTCAGCTGATTTGTGGAACGGTGTTTCCTTGTAAATGAACCAGCAGTTGCCGCCCCAGAGGATGAGGTTAAGAAAACCAAAAATCTGTCAGAGAATGACACATAAGTCAAATATCCTATTGGCTGTGGTAGTGTACACACAACTTTAAGCACGTTAAAACAAAACAAGACCAAGTTGCATACAACTTACCACTGAAGCGTTAAGTCGGCCCATGTGAGGCACCGCGCCCGGGGTGCACTTGTTGATGGCCACCTTGCAGACAGCAGGAACAGTTACAATGGTTGTAGGACTGGTGGCAAACTTCACATCAGTCAAGCCTTTAGCCCAAGCGGAGGATGATGCCAACCACAGGAACGCAAAGGCTGCAGTCACTAACAGGTCCTTATAAAACAGCAGAGAAAACTTGTCAGTATAAGAAGGGGTACATTTACTAAAGGAGCTTTCTGGGACACGGGTTATCTAGTGCGATTTGTAAGCTGCTATGTTACCACACCCTTCTCACTTATTTACACAGCTCTGTTAAAGGAACTTTCTCTGCCCTCCTGCTGGATTCCAGCTTGAAGTGGAATCCTTCAAATCCAGCAGCTTGTGAGAGATATAAAACTTAGATCCTAACACTTAAGCATCATTTTCCTGCCAGAAATACAACCTAGTATATCACAGTTACTTCTAGATGGGAGAAGACCTGGATAAGCACAAGTATTTTCTGTGTGTAATGCATTTTAATTTGATTTCCTTTTCTTCTAAGTGCCATTTTAACATGGTCTTATGCTTCCCTTCTTATTTTGAATTTAATTTTAACATGATTTTATTTTCATCTATATTGTTTGTAAAGTACTTTGAGCGACATTTCTTGGATGAAAGGTGTTTGACAAAATAAATTACTTTAGTTATAACAACTGAGAGAATTCAGACAAACTTACCACAAGGGGACCACGATTAGATTCTCTATACAAGTGCTGGTAGCCCAAGTAGATGACTAGTGTGGCAGTGGTGTACAGAAAGGCCAATACTCCGATAGCGACAAAAAACTCTGCCGCTGATGAGTGGTCTCCTGTCAGGAAGTAATTAGTGGTGGTGGGGGTGGGGGTGGTCTGATTGACTTTACAGTCAGGAACAACATAGGGATGCTGCATCAACCTGTGTAAACATAGATATATAATATTACACACATTCTAGTAAGCTGCTCCCTCCCTTTAGAGAGTGTTAGATGATTTGTCTTTGTTCACACACACACACACACACACACACACCTGAACGGGTAGTTAAACTGTGCTTGTACTTCATTGGTAACCCCATTGCACTGGACGTTGATGTTGGTTGTGCCACTGTAACCTACGGTTGTAGCGAAGGCAAATATGGAGAAGAGCTGCAGCCACAGACAAAGACAAAGAGGAGAAACTTGGGCATGAGAGGATGTTCAGAACAGAGAGAATGTGCACACACATACTTCCATTATGTGTTTTCACTCCCATCACTTTTGACAGATCTAAAAATGACTAACTAGCCATCAAGGATGCCCACAATGCATCCATTTTACCAATGGACACCACAGCTAGCTAGATTTTTGTTTTTGTCCTTTTTATTCAGTTGCACCTCTCGTTCAATGGGCATTGCAACACCCTCGATAATGCATATGAAGGGAGGTGGGAGTCGTGGTCTAGTGGCAGCAAACATCATATAAATCTTGTAAAGGGATAGTTCACTTAAAATATCAGAGGATATCAGAGGTCATTTAGGCTAAAAACATGACTCCATTAAATTACTCCATTTTGGGTTCATCTGGATGTCAGGGCTTACGGAAAGTTGGATGACACAACAGGAGATTTCTACTTTTTTTTTTTTTTTTTAACGTTAGAAGAAGTGGTTGGCAGTTACTTCAATTGTATTGGATTTGGTTGCAACGCTGTTTATCCCTGAAACTCCTGAAGAGTTTTGTGGACTCAAACACTTCACCCACCCCTCCATGGGCATAGTGGTGGGCAGATAATGAGTTAACTTTCGTTTCTAGGTGAACTATCCTCTTAACATACAGAAGCAGCTAAGACTATAACGAGTATCATGTTTGATCCAAACGTTGAAGCACACAAAATATATGCGAAATAAAATATATATGATATTATAAGATATTGTCATTTGCCTATAAGTCTAATCTTATATCTTTGGTCTCCAGTTTAACCGTCGGTCTGAGCCACAGAAAACTAGCTGGTGGTTTGCAGCCTGACTTTATCATCGCCCTCTGAACCTCACATCTGAAACAGCTCACAGGCTGCTCTGCATAACCTTCCTGGGCGTGCAGCGGATCACAAGACGAACGACATAATCAATTTGAGTAGGATTTTCACCAGCATGCATGGACAGCTCGTGTGAAACACACCCCGCCGTAGGCAAATATGGTGAGACCAAAAAACCACGTCCTTACAACGTCTCAGGGGAAACTTACCCATTCTAACAAACGGATAAACGCCAGCGGCTCTTTCAGGGGGCCCAGATCAAGACTGAATCCGGAAGTGAGCACTTTCTGGTGGGAAATAAAAAAAAAGTGAGAGTGAGTTAGAAACGGAGAAATGAGCCGCACAGCTCGAGCGGCAGCCCGCAAATCGGTGTTCACAACAAAAGTGTCCGATCGTTGACTCTTCCTGTCCGTTACCTGGGCGACAGCTTCCATAGTTGCTCCGGAGACAAGTAAGTTTGGATGAACGTGTGTCCGTCAGAGGCTCCTGATCCCTGGGTCTTCTCTGTCGACGCTCCTCGGGCTTGTCAAACTTTTCTTCAACTTCAGCAAATCGTAGTAGGAAACACGTGATCACTGACGTTTGGGCGTCAATAGAGGGCGCTGATGAACAATGAGAAAACCAACACAGCAACAAGACTTCATATTTATCACTTTATACAGTCTGCTCGTTAGGTTTGTTCTCAACAAAACTAAATACGTATAGGAGAATAGAATCAAATGGGGGGGACTAAATATTCACACACACTCCATAGTGTTCAAGTTGTTAGTTCATTTGCAACGATTGTCACATTGCAGCTATGAATGTATATAGTTTTAGTTTTGTATTGTGTTTGACCTTTTTTATATTAAGCTCTTTCTACCTTGCTTTTAATTTAATTCAGCTATTGCACTGCTGAAGAACTAGAATCACTTTTCTGTGCTTTTTGTTTTTTATGTAATTTGTTGACATTATCATCACTGTTTTTGTCAAAATATATTTATACCTCAAATTATATTATATTATACCTAGTGGAAGCCATCAAACAAATCCGTTTTATCTTGTATTTCCTATTTGGACTAATATGAAGAGTTGAGTTTAGTGTTCTGTTCTGCAATTGATATGATTTGGAGTCAGTGGGTCACATAACATGGAAGCTATTTAAAATGTGCAGACCTCTGCCAGGGCCTATGAAACCCTGTTTAAAGTCACTAGGTCAAGATTTCTTATTTAGATGTGCACCAAAAAGAAAAAGAAAAAAGTGCCCTTTCTTGTCATGTTAAAGAATGAATTCTGTACCATAATTTAATGGGTTCTTTTTTAATCCATAAACATCCTCCAACCAAGCTTCATTTTAATCCATTGAGTGGTCTTTGTGTTAGGCTGCTAACCAGAAGACTAACAAACAAACCGATGCAGATTAATACATAACCTCCTTAGCAGAGGTCAATATCCCACAAGCATTTCAGTTTGCACTTTGCAGAGTGGAATATTGGCGTACATACACAGCAATGCTAATAACTTGTCACTAGAGGTCAGCTTTTCCACATAGACTATTTGGCCATCATGAAACTGATCTTTTATGGTCAAAGAAAGCCATGTGTTCTCCCATGAATCCCATCATTTGGCTGAACTGATTCACACCGAGGCTGTCTATGTAGCTGTCTCAGATTAGTTTGGTAGAAAAGCTCATTTAATGAAAATGCTTGTATTGAGGCTCGGTACACAGGGACAGTCAGGGACATGTGATTCCATTCTCTCATTTGTCTAGTTTTCTCAACACATTGCACAGGGATTGTTGGGTTCCTATGGCACAGCTCTTATCCTAACAGGGCACATCTCAAAGGAATAAAAGTGGCTTTGTTCTCCACCTTTTAATAGTTGACAGGGCTGCTATGGGGGAGGGGCTGCTACACCATTGTACAGTCTCTTTGTGAAGGAATGCTGCTCTAGAGATCAGATTGTTTGGGTTTCTCAGTGCATCTGAATCTAGAAATACCCAAGCAAAGAGGTAACACACACACAAAGGATACTCCCAATGCTCCAAAGAGGACTGAGAGTGTAGCTAAGCTGTGCGAAATGTGGACTCAAGTACAAGGTTTCAGGGTTTTTGAAACCAGTGAAACTTGGTTAACAGCTTTTATTTTGCCCATGTTACGATGACTACTTATTTATTGTTGCAGCCTTGCAGAACCTGTCAGACAGGTTTTGCCAGAGCGTAGGCTCAACAAGAAAATAATGTGATACTGACTATCTGACCAGTGTCAGTCAGACCAGTGGCAGCTCTGGGTCCAAGATTTGGTTTATTCTGCGATCCATGACCAATAGTCATGAGTTTGTTATGATCCGCAGTCCAATCACATGCACAAATTTCATCAAGAATACAATATGATTCATTGAAGCCAACAAAATTAATAAATATAATTTGAAAATGTTGTAGGTTGTTCAAAAGGACCCATTGTAATTCATTTACACAAGATCATATGACAGAAAGGATCATTTTCCTTTTTTGACCCTCTTTTTGACGGTGGTGAATGTGATCATGAGCTTTCAGAGCAGATCAGTCACTCAGCTGTTGACTGTTGAGTCCATGAAAGAAGTGAGACTGATGCATGAAGACCCTAAACAAATAGTGTATAATCAGGGATTTCTTCCATGTTTGCCATTAGAAGGATGTGTGGATTTTCTCTTTTGTTTTTTTCATTTTGTTTTATTGATCCAGCTCCCAACAAACTTTTGATTTATCACAACTAACCTTATTTTTAAGTAATTGTGTATTTGTATCAACAGATAATTTCAAATATTCGAAGTGGACAGGGGTTGCAATTCACCAATGGCAAGGATGTGCCACTGGTGGAGAGATTACTAAAATTCAGCCTGATTTAATCTCTTGTTTGAGCTTTCCAACATTGCAACAGAACCAGATGTTTAATCCTGGACAAAGAAAACCGTGGGTACGCGTATGAGGAAGTGACTGTTAGATTCATGTTTAAACATTTTATTATTACGATTACTTTGGTTTGTGATCAAGGAGTAGAAGAAAAATTACTTAGAATCAGACATAGTATCACGGTCAACATATTTATAAACGAAGGCTAGTAAAAACAAACCAGTACTTTCAAAGCACACAGATTTGCGATCCTATATGTTGGTTTTGTATTTGATTCATGTGAAATGTAACAATGGTTTTCACCTGTAAATTGTGTGGTTGCAAATTAAATGAATGTATGGAAGGTGAAATTAAATTAACTTGAGGTGAAAAAAAGTATCATTCTTTTGAATCTGTGCTGTAATCCATCATTTTTATTTATATTTGAAGAAGTGGTCACCATTTATTTCCAATGTATTGGATTTGGCTACAACAGTGCATACCCCTGAAACTCCAGAAGTGTTTTGTGCACTCAAACACGTCATCCATCCCTCCATCGGCATAGTGTTGATCGGCAAAATTTTGGGGTGAACACCCCTTGAAGGTGCTATTCCACTGTATATCAATATCATTGTCAGCCTTGAATGTTATATATTTATATATATATATATATATATATAAATCAGCCTTTTTCAGTCAGTCAATAGTAATTGATTTTTCCTTCTTTAAAGGTTCAGTGTGTAGATACATATAGTGGTGAAATTTAATGTTGCAGCTGAATACTCCTCACCTCACCCCCCTTCCAAACATAATAGAGAGCCTGTGGAAACCATCAGTTGTCATTGAAACTCAAAAGGTGTTTAGTTTGTCCAGTTTGGACTAATGTAAAAAACATGGCGGCCTCCGTAGAGAGGACCGACTCCTGATGTAAAAGGTCTATTCTAGGGTAAAGAAGACAACCATTCTAATAATTTGATTTAAATGACACACTAGTGAAACTGGATGGAGTTAATGATAGTATCACTCAACCTATCCTGACAGCCACTGACAGCTCATTATGCAGGCTCCTCTGTTTGGGCACCGCCTTTCGAGGATGTACCCAATCAGAAAAGCGAATAGGTGAACCACGATATAGGAGCAGCCAATCGCATCGCCAGGTGTCCGCACCGACTATCACGGATGTGCAGACGCAATCTGCTTGATGGTCACAGTGGATCATGTTGTTTGCGGAGTTGCAGCTCGAATAACCGGCTTCAAACACCTCGTTTCATTCTCCAAACTCGCGTTTCCTTGTTTCCCGTGTTGCTATTTTTTCGCTCCTGCCGCGCGGAGTTACCCGGAGCAGCGAGGGCGCTCCGTGTTTGCAGAGCCAGAAACAGTCGGTGTCAGGAGCGGTGTTTTTGTTGATGTCATCCGCGGCGGTGGAGCTGTAGCGACCTTCACTTCCCACCGGATAAATAAACACCCGCTTCCCCGTGTTGTTTTTCGCCTTCTTCTTCTTCTTCTTCTTCTCCATTTCATCTCTGCCGGTGCCACCTGCGACGAAGATGGGACTTCAGCTGCTGCGCTGTGTCCTGCTGTTGTCGGCTTCTCTCCTCGCAGCCGGTTCAGATTTTCTGCCGAGAGCCGAAACCTACGGGCGAGCGCGCTTCGCGAGGAGTCCGGCGAGGCTGGCTGAACGACCCCCGCCCGTCGGGCTGGGCGCTCCGCCGTATCACAAGATCAAACGCCGGAGCACCGAGCAGGGCGACTCCTGTAAAGCTCTCCAAGGATACGAAACCAAGTTAGCGGAAAACACCCACCGTGTAAGTTTACCTGCGGGTCCTGTTACACTTCGCACGTCTGACAGTTTAATGAGGCGAGAGGAGACGACGCGCAGGTGTCGACCAGGTACAGGCCCCGATCATCCTCCAGGATCCCATAGCTACTGATGATGGGCTGTTTTCCATTCAGCCCAGAAGCTCTGGAGGATGGAGGATGTTACACTGTAGATTTAGATTCCCCCCTGTAGGCCTGTCATTGTCCAGATCCTGAGCATGAGTCTAAGTTCAGACGTTTCCTGACACCTCTCTCCAAGCTCTAAAAGCCCATTGAAGGATGCTTCTTGTCTTTCTGATGATTGCCACATCAAGGCTGCCCAGATTCTTGTCTTTAATATTTGGTGCAGTGACATACACTATAGAAAAGACTGTAACAATGCCTGTTTCCCCTCATACTTTAGGAACCAGCACAAGTGGCCATGACCTATATCTCATTCTTGTCAAGCATGCAGCTCTCTCTGTGTCTGCCTGACTGGAGAGTGAAGCTGTACCAGGGTTTACTGGAAAATTGGCCCAGGGAGGGAAGGATCCATGTGACTGGCTGTGCGGTGGTTATTTTCTAATTAAAAGCTATGTTTGTTCGGTAGTGAGAGCAGTTAGCAAGCAGCCAGTCGATTAGGAAACAGAGGGTACAGTGTATTTGATGTAACTCGCACTTAAATCCTGAGGAGAAGTCTGAATTTGGTCTCATCTGATTCCACAGTTTTTACTAAGGAAGTGAAGGCAAGAAAAAAGACCACTGCTTTCCTTAAAGCAACCAGGAAGCTGACAGAGTCCTGTGCTGTAAATTTGCCTAGCTCCTTGCAGCCACGTGATCAACTTTGCATTATAGTCTTTGTATACTTGGCCTTAGTAACCTAAAGTTGACAGAATTCCTAGAGGCTCAGCCCTGTCATTCCCCCCAGGTTGCTGTTGCAGGTCCCATCGGCACTAGAGCTGCTTACAGCCCGAGCTGCTGAAA